ATCAAATACCGCATCAGCAGTATGCCGATATTGTTGGCGTTTTCGCGACAAGAGGCGCAGTTTGATACCAGGTTGACGCGGCCTGAGGAGATGCGTAATAAGGACTTTTTGAGGGAGTGGCTGGTCAGGGAGGCACAGAGGGGAGGCAGGATGGGTGGAGGTGGGGGGAGCATGTTTGGTTAGTCATACGTGTTCTGTGAGGACTCCCGGATGAAAAGTTGGGCCTGACGGTGCTCAGGTACGAAGGAGGACGGAAACGAAGGCAAAGAGGGTGAAGGAAAATGAAGCGAAAGCGCGGGACATGAGAGGGCGGGATGCATAGGTACGTTCATCAATTGGAGGCTCAAAGAGCCGTTGCTGACAGCTTGACAAGTATGTTCAATACCAAGAGTAAGGAACTAATCACGACATTGATGGTGAATTCAATAAGAGGCTTCATTATTATCGCTCTATGCTACGGTTTTGCGCAATACTCATGTCAAGCGCCAGTCGCACAATCGTTGCTACCATCGCTCTTAACACTAATGTATCGACTGGTCTCAACGGTACTAGAGCTTTGAATGCCAAAGGGGGTATATCCATAAAAGCTACCAGATAAAACTCCCAAACGCCCTCGGAATGCTCAAGATACGACTGTTACAACTCCTTCCTTGCCAAGACTGGTGTTTCTCAACAAGCCGAGATTGCGTTGTCTTGTGCGTTCAACCCTTTGATATCTTTACACTCTTCATGAGTGGATCCTCATGAATAGTCTAAGACTGGGCATCCAGCCGAGCCCGCTTCTCCGCGCGCGTCTCACCGAATGCTTCGCCTCTCTTGTTGGCCTTCTTGCTATTCTGCGCAGGCTCTGTGTACATGGGTGTGCCGACGCGAGAGCCGCCGAGCGCGGGAGTAGGCAGCGAAGTGTCAGTAAGAGCAGGTGGAGAGGTGACATCATCGTCGTCGATAAGCATGTCGTTCTCGTGCTTGACCTGAGGTTCGATAAGCTGCGGGAGGCGGCTGTTGGTCTTCGCATTGATCATGTTCGCCTTGTAATGTTCGCTCTCCTGTTTGCCGTTCGCATCGTACTCGTTCAGCTGACGCTGCATCTCCTCACGCTCCCGTAGCCAGCTATCATGTTGATTCTTGTACTCCTTCTCCTTGTTCTCCACCCACGCTTTCTGTTCCTCACTCTCATCGACACAAGTGGGACACTTGATGTAGAAACCGCCAGTTGTGGAATCCTCGCCCATGAACTCAAACTCGGGAAGGTTTTCGCCAATAAGCTCAGTCTTGTCCCAGTCGAGACAATCCTCACAGAAGCCTTGTGGACACCAACGGCAGCGGAACATGAGGCCTCCAGCATCTGAGGTCGATTTCCCACACTCTGCGCAGTTGTGCTGTGGGCACTGAAAGCCACTGAAGCCCTTTACCTTTGCCTTGTACTCGGGATCAAGACAGTCGGTATGGTAAGCACGAGGGCAACCTTTACACTCGACCATGTGTCCAGCATCCGCATCGTCGAAACAGCTTAGACAATGGTCCTCATGGCCAAATTGGCGCCGCTTTTCACGTACCGGCTCAGCAAGACGAGGATCTTTGCCAGCATACGTCGGCACAGCCTCCCAGTCGGCACAGTCCATGGACTCTTTGTTGATAGCAAAGCCGTCCACCATGACTGTAGTGTTCTTTCCCTTGCGACGATCTTCGCGCGTGATGGTGTCTGGAAGAATATTTGCAGCCGAGGTATTAGCCTTCCAGGTTGTGTCAAGCTGACGTTGGTGGTGCTTGCCCTCAAACACAGCGCATTCGACACGCTCCATGGTAGAAAGCCATTTATCCTCGTCAGCCTCAGAGTGTGTCGCTGTTTCGGTCAAGTCGGCAGGATTGTCGCGACACTTGGCCATCATTGTCTCTAAATCCCAAGACACCATCTCTTTGACGTCAATCTCCGGATGTGACAGTGTCTGGGCGCCTCGTCGTACAAGTGTCTTCAGTTGTGTAGTGTCCATCTGGGGTAAGTCTTCGGTAGCAGATACGCGTCCGGCTTTCTTGCTGATAGTCGACTGCTTGCCATGCACGCTCTGCATCGACTCCGTGATCTTTGCCGACAAATAAAGCTTCTTGCGAATACGACCCATCATCTGCTCTTCGACGGTACCCTGGGTACAGAGCTTATATATGGTCACCTTCTTTGTCTGTCCAATGCGATGAGCTCGAGCTTCAGCTTGAAGTGTAATCTGCGGATTCCAATCTTCGTCAAGGAAAATGACGTCCTGGGCGCTCGTGAGATTGATACCCAAGCCACCTGCCCGTGTAGACAGAAGCATGACCTTGTAGTCTGAGTCCTTTTGGTTGAAGAGGCGAATATCCAGGTTGCGGCGAGCTCGAGCTGTGCTACCATCCAGGCGAAGGGCCTTGAAATGCTCTCCATGGTTGCTGATGAGGGATAAGAGATCTTCGCAGTAGTCAAGTGTGCGAGTAAAGCCAGAGAAAATAAGGACTTTCTTGCCCTCGTTAAAGACCGTGTGCTTGAGAAGCTTCTCGAGAAGAATGAACTTGCCGGATGCGCGAATGATGTGGTCGCTGAGGTAGTACGGATCAGGCGCGACACCTGGGAGCAGATATGGGTGTGAACAACACTTGCGCAATTGCATGACGAGGTTCATGAGCTTTTTCCAAGCGCCCTTGTTGGCGTCTGTGTCAGTCTGCTCCTTCGCCACAGCTTCTTGTAAGATTTTGGTAGTTTCGTCCCAATCAGTTCCGGCATCGCCAGAGCGCACCACCTGCTCTACCTTTTCCATCTTCTGAAGAAGTTTGTTTTCTTCAATGTCTTGTTCAATAGCCGCCTTCTCCTTCTGCTTGCCATCCGCAAAAAGCTCGTCGAGCATGCCATCGTCAATGCGTGTCAACAGACGAGTGTACCAAATTTTCTGCATGGGAGTCAAGGGTACGTAGAGCAGCACCTCTTCCTTGGGGGGGAGTCCAAGATTGACAGAAGGAGAATCTTTCATGCGACGTAGCATGATGAGTTCAAGCAAGCGACGGGCGTCTGTCATGGTCTGCTTGTTCGCTTTGCCCTTGCTTAGGTCAAAGGATTCCTTGAAAAGCGTCTCAGTCTTGTCATCGAAGACGTTGGGGTACAGCCATGTCAAAAGCGACCACATCTCGACCAGGTTGTTCTGGAGTGGTGTTCCAGTCAGGATGAGACGATATTCGGCGCTGATGCTCTTGAGTGCAGTAGAGATCTGGGTGACGCTACTCTTGATCTTATGTCCCTCATCCAGAACGACGTAGCGCCAGGCAAAAGAGTGTTTGAACCATGATTGCTCGGCCTGGAAGGTCTCGTAGGTGGTGACGACAATCTTGTAGGCATCGGATCCTCCATTGCTCGAGGAGAGCTTGGACGCCTTTCGGCCAGCCTTGCGCGACGCCTTCTTGTTTTTGGCGTGTGAAGTCTCGTTTCCCTTCATATCCTCCATGCCAGCTGCAACGCGCTTCAAACGGGTCCGCTCAGTGACAGCACCATGAAAGCGCATGACTTTCAGCTGCGGTACCCACTTCTGGGCCTCGGTGACCCACGAGTTGAGAACACTAAGAGGGCAGATGACGAGGTATGGGCGAAGTTCTTCTGACGTCACGCCGTTCTTCTCATCCAGCTCTTCGAGATACTGGAAGAGCGACAAGGTCTGCAGCGTCTTTCCAAGACCCATCTCGTCGCCGAGTATGCCAGAGAAACCGTTGTTGTAAAGATGAACCAAGTATGACAGACCTGATAGTTGGTATGGCTTCATGACAGCAGTGACACCCTTGGGCTGCTCCGAGAGCTCCTCGTATTCGACGATAGGCTGCGCATTGCCCTCGGCGACCAGCTTCGCTACCTGGTTGTTCTTAGGCAGCAGCGGGAGGAAGAGATGCTTGTTGGCGACAAGAAAGCTGTTGGCCTTCGCCTTGGTCTTCTTAGTGATCTCGTCGCGCAGACGAGCACGAGCGGTGTCGAGGTTAGGAGGCGGTTGCGCAGCCTTTCGGCGAGGTGGCGAGGGGGTGGATACGGTGTCCGACTCCAAGATAGTGGTCTTCCTGTCACGCCCACTTCGCCGCAGACCCTCTGTCCGCTGGCGATCCTTTCTGTGCTTCTCCATCTTCAGCTCTTCAGTGTATGCAGAGATCCTGGCGCTAGTCTTGCGGTTTGGGCGGGAGGATGGGGCGAGTTCGTCTTCGCTGGTTCCCGCGTCGGCGTCTGCTTCTCTTGAGGTCGAGGCACGAGTGCTCCTGGTGGCTTTGACAGCGGGCTGTTTGTGGTCGAGAGTAGACGGGGAGGCTTCGTTTGCGGATGAATCGGAAGCGATGTAGTTTGGTGTTGGCTGCGGTCGCAGGCTCCGTTTGCTGTCGCTTGTCTCGCCTTGCTTGGTCTCCTGCTGCGAGGATATACGTCTTCTCTTGGTTGCCGACTGGGCTAAACTCTGAGATCCAAACTGCGCGAGGAGGTCCTGCAGCTGGCCGCCTCGTCTCTTGGGGGTGATGGGCTGGGGAGAGCCCAGAGTTATGACCGGCTGCCGGGCCATTGTGACAGGTATGCGTTACTGCGTGGGCGAGTGGGTTCCGCGGTGAAGCAGAGTTGTAAGCCTGGAAATGCAGGGAAAAGTACAGGTGAGTGGCAATTAGAAACGCGTTGTTGGAAAGTTATTGGAAATGGACGAAGACAGTTTAGAAGACAGGGAGAAAAAAACTTTATTCGAGGCAAGTGACGGTGAAGAGGAGGGCAAGCGATTCAGCGCATCCAAACGAGGGCATTGAGACGACTGGGCGTCTTCACGGTGAAGTGAGACCTCGCGGCGCCGTCAGGTACGCGGAGGCGATACGTCAATCTTAGCAGACGCGTCCTAGCGCGACTTGCGATGGGCCCTTCCGGAACCATTCCGAGCTACCACCAGCTCGTCAAACGCCGTCGACCCTCAGACGTAACATTTGTCGAAGCCACTCGCCGTACTCGCGCAGCCGGCGCACACTCGTCGCACACCATGGCTCAACAGCCCATGACGCCCTTCTTCCCCATCTTCGCGTCCAAGTCAGATGGGCAGCACATTGTCAACCTCAAAGGCCGCCCTCTGCGAAACGGCCCAACCGAGGAGCAGCTCAACACGACGCCCAACGACCAGGGCCAGCGCGACTTCTACCGCCTCATAGACAAGGACGACCCGAAGCACCAAGACTGGCGCAAGAAGCTGGGTGGCATGCTTCTGCGCGAGGTGGGCGGCAAGCAGCAAGAGGGTAGGCAAGGTGCGAGGCGCATGGCCGACTGCAGACTAACATGTGACAGACAAGTGGCAGCAATGCATCCTGTGGGAGCTGCCGGAAAACTACGTCCTCTACGAGCACATCAAGACCAAGGCAGACGGACAGCTGAAGACGGTCAAGAACCACTCGGGCGGCGGCCACGATAGACAGGATGCATACCTCTACGGATACCCAAAGGGCCCCAAGAAACGCTTCAGGAGTCCCGTCGAATTTTTTCCCCATCTCCTGTGGCTGTGCACCGACGAGAACAGCGACATGGCCAATTGCACGTGCAAGATGTGCTCGCCTGCCGGAGACGTCGAGAAGCCCCAAGTCAAGGTTGAAGCCAAGCAAGAGCAGCCCATGGCCATCAAGCGAGAGAACAGCTCCGGCGGCGCTACACCAAACAGCACCGTCGTCGGGCGCAATCCCGTAGTACAAATCCCTCCCCGAAGGCCTTCAACCAGTGCGCCTATCCCCAGTCCCATCATCAAGCCCTCTACGCCCGTTTCTGCCCCTAAGCCTGCACCTGCACCCAGTGCTCCGCAAATCAGAGCCCCTCCAACCCTGCAATCGACCCCTCTCCCTCAACCGCGGTCCTTTGAACAGCAAGTCGACTTGTCATACAACAAATTTCTCTGCCGAACTGGAGAGGTGGTGTGGTTTTTCAGGCCCAAGACGTCAGCCTGGGGTCTCGGACTCGTGGTAAGAAGATGGGCTGTCAAAGAACAACCCATGAGCAGGTCATATTTGATCCAACCACTGTCGCACCCCTTTGAGACGCCTCCACAAGAAATCGTTCACACGGATGAGCACGTCAAGCCCTGGCTCGCGTGGTCTGCACCCAGCTGCACCTTCCCCTTTCTACAACAGAATCCGCAATTCGAATATGGCAACACTGACTGGAGGGCCCTCATAAGTGGACAGGGAGGCGAGGGCATCGCGTCCGTGGATGCATCAATTCTAGCTGCAAAAGCCATTGACACAACATATACGCTCTTCGAGCCCCTCAAAACGTCAAAGGACGACAAGGGAAACGAACTTCGCCAATACAACGGCATGTACCTTGGCGCTGAGAAGATCTGGAAAGGCGAGGCCGTCCGCCTGCGCATAGGCGCTACTGGAACTGACCTCATGGTCGTCACTGACATCATCGAGCAAATCTATGCCAACCCACCGCCCAACCAGCCCAAGAGCAAAGTCATCGCAGTCGGTGACATATATAGCTACGCCACTTTGGATGCGCCAGACGCCAACCTTCCTCCAAAACCGCCTCAGCAGAACGCCAACATTCCTTCGCGCATGGTGCACGACATGGTATGGCGAAACCGAATGCTCGTGCCTATAACCCGCACGGCGGCGTGGTGGAAGCTCATCCAACCATCATACAAGATCGACATCGACGACATCAAAGGTCGATGGTATGAGACGAGTCTTATATTCCAGGATCCTTTTGCTAAAGCTGTAAAGAACGGCGAGGGCGGTAATGGCATCTGGATGAACTCGCGCGGCGATGCAACGGGCAAGGGCAAGGGAGCAAGCGTGGCGCAGTCCGACCGCATTGGTGCCTTTGGGGCTTCCGTGCCCAAGGGAACACGCATCGTCGAGGGCCTGGAACCTCCGAGTCAACCAATCGGTCAACAGCAGCAGTCCCACGACGGAATGGACATGAATATGGGTGCTGGTAGCATGGCGGATCCATTTTCCATCGATGAATTCATGAATGTGGATCATCTGGGCGACGATGCCGGTATGGAGTACGGTAACAGCAATAATTTTACATTTTAGCATAGCCGGACATGGCACTGATGGCGCATGGCACGGCGTAATTCGGAGAGCATCCTGGGACATCCATCTATTCAAAAGCATTTGTGGGATATGGTGTATTTGTTCTTTTGTTATTCTATTCATATGGGCGATACCCAAGTCGTTGCTCGACTATGTTAAGTCTGCGAGCTTGGTGGATAGACACAGATGTCGTGTATAGTACAGTCTATGCAGCAGAGGCAAGAGTCAATGCATAAGTTCATACCTGTAACCGATATGGCTCATCAAAGTGAACAGTCACTGCAAAGGTGGAAACCACGCTTGCAGATAACGAACAGAAGTCACCGGAGGGACTATAGGACAGAGGAGCGCCTTAAAGTGTGTATCTGACGTTACAGGGAAGTACTTGTCGTGATGAGGGTAGTCTCAGGGACCAGTAAGTTCACATCAAGAATGAAGACATTCGAAGAATAGAAGCTAATTTGACAGTGACAGATACTATGGAAATCTCAGGTATTGATTGGAATATATGCACTGTTCCCGACGGAAGGGAAGAGGAGGCAGGGGAGTAATAGTTCAACTGCTCATGTAAATGTCCTTTGTATCAAAGCGAACTTCTTCTTACAATAAGACTGTCTAAGTCTACCTGTAGTTATGGTCTTGCGAGGAAGACGATATCCCCAAACCAGCGTGTTCAGTATCTCTCGACTGAAGTGCAGATCCCTGATCCGAGTGTGCACGATGATAGCCCTGCCGGTTCTGCACTGCATCCTGTATATGTGGCCCTGTCTGTGCGTTACTACGCACCAGACCTGTTTCTAAGAGAGGAGTCTCTGAGCTTCTGCGCTCTTCGCCGATCACATGGCCGTCTGCTTCATTCTGCTGATATACTTGCGACGGCCTTTGTATAAGGGGTGTCGAAGAGTCGCCGCTTGTGCGGGGCCGACCGGGTAGGTCAAGTGGATCGAGGGAGGCGTCGCTCTCGTTGCGTGTCCGACGTGGTGTAATAGCTGGTGGAAACAACGAGTGAGCCATTGCTGGGGTTTCGAAGACAACATCAGGCACTCTATCGTTGTCGTAAGGTGTCAGTTCAATCGACGGCGCTCCGCGGAGATGGTCTCTTCCTGATGAGGAAGTCCGGCGAGGAACAAGCGGATTCCATGTGTGATGCCTTGTCCACATGAGCGTATTTTTACGCTTCTTGATCAAACCAATGGCAAGAGCAAGCTTTTCTAACTGGTTCATTGTAACACGAGAGGTACGGCGAGCGAAGAGCGTCAATGACCGGTAGGCTCGTGTCATTCTCAGTCCTTTCATAGCGTCTTCGTAATCTTCGGTCGATAGGAAGGACTGTTGACACCACTGCAGAGGTGAAGACATAAAGTTAGTGAATATCTCACATGCAGCTCGTACAGGCACAACTTACCTCGACAGTGATGTAGAACATGGATAAGCCCATCACTGTTGCTGTCAAGACAGTCCCGGAGATCCAGCACCAGGCGACCCACAGGCTATTCGACTGATCTACTAAGCGGTTAACACAGGCAATAACGTATCGTAGACTATGAAGCGTATCGTATTAAACCTGTCCTGCTTTGGTAGATTGAAGGAAAAAAAGCAACCGTGTCTCCCTTTTCTCTTATCTCTGCAGGGGGTGAGTAGTAAAGTGAGAACGTACTATTTAGTCGTTAGCTATTATCAACCATATTTTCTACGTGTGACGGCTACTTTACCCTTGCTGACTGAAATCCAGGTATCCACCTCCCCAAGCCCAATTACTGGTCATGCAATCGCAAGTTTTGTACCAACCAAAGACCTGCGCCATGACGATGTATATCTACAGGCGATCAGTCAGTGGTCTTATTGCTGCGATGTCGACAGGGATATGACTTACTAACCATATGGTGTTGAATGTCTCTACTGGCCGGAAAAAGAAGAGCTCCCACCTCCTTTTGAGAGGCATTTCACGGAGACTAGCTCTCTTCCTCTCCAATGCTATCTGAAACTTTTCCCTGGTGGCTCCTCTGTTCACCCAAGGCGCTACAAGAACCATGGAGACTATACAACGGATCAAAAGGCTGCTCATAACGTCAACCATTCGCGAAGCTCTTCGCTTGAGTCTTCCCCAGCTCGCCTGTGCATCGTCCTCCCAATGATTAAAGGTGACATGGCTATGTAGACGACTTCCAACTCTACCCAGCCACGGCGAACATAGCGCATCGAACTCGTACGGCGAAAGGAACATCCAGACGGTCATTTCGACGATAAGCAGGCCCAATGCAACAGCGAAGAAGATGGTGTATCCTCCACTGCGGCAACCGAGGCCAACGGTGGGTGTGAAGTAACTTAAGATGAATGCACCTCCGCAACTTCCAGCAACGATGATGATGGCACTTAGCACTTGCCAGAACTCTCGTACATCGAACCAAACCAACCCTTCCTCATTGACAGGCCCCAACACAAGACTTGCTCGTGCTTCGCGCTCATTAGCCAGCCAATTACGGCCTTTCCTCTCAATATAGCAGTCTTCTATATCAGAGAGAATTGCATGTGCGGCACCATAATGCCATCGAATTCTCGCCTGGCCAGCGAAATCCACGAAGAATTCTTCCATGTACTCGCCCTTGTCCGCCACACTCTCGATACGGCACTTCAGCTCATGGTAGTCTGGTTGATCTCTAAAGGTCTTGATGAATTCGTCGCGATGTTGCTTGTCGCGTAGTGCGTGACGGACGTGATCGACCAAGGTGCTGAGCTTTTTGCGGATCGCTTCTGCTGCTATGGGATTGCGGTCAACAATAGAGCCCATAATTAGAACTGGGAACCAGGCCAGCAAACAGCCCAATGCCAAATCGTGAGCGGTTGAGTTGTTTCCCAGGTCACCGAAAGCATCTTGAATGGAAAGCGCAAATGCGAATAAGAACCACATGATGGATATAAAGACTGAGCATCAATTAGCGGCTGTGGTAACGTTGGAGAAAGAGTATATACCCGGAACGGTCCCCCTTCTTCTCATCTCACGCACCTCACGGGCCAGTATGCGTCTCATTTGACGGAGCGTCTTGTCGGTATCTGTTAACACAAGGTCTTTGCTAAAGAGCGTGATGCGCAATAGGCCCTCGGCTTCTTTCTGAAGGTCTTTCGACATGACCGTAGGCTTTAGCGTGTACTGATTCATAACCAGCAAGAGATACATAGAGTCTCGCATGCTACCGAAGTCGGTCTTGCGATGGGGGGTCTCGTCATACTTGACAGCCATGTCAACCATCATGGCAGCCTTGGCAGACACTTTGATATTCCATAGGACGTAGGATATCGATGCGATGGGCGAGCCAACCCATCGCGTGATGGCCAACAATGTTCGTTGAGTTGCGTTGCTCTCAAAAGGTGCCTGCAAAAGAACACCGATGATTGGGAGTATCCAGGTGGTGATTACACCTGAAACGTCTTTCCACGGGTAGTAATGCGCGCCGTTACCACAAAGGTATATGCACCCTTCACGGGATATCTGGGTCGTAGAGTTATAATCGATGCCGATGATCTTACCATGCCAACCCCATGTTTCGCGGAGTGTTGAGTTTTCTGCGAATCGCTTGGCGCACTCTCTGAAGTTGGTAGTCATGTCGACCGCAAGGTGCGCGAGGCAGAACTCGCCGTGCAACTGGCAGGTTGGGTGCGCCTCGGCTTTAACAAACAGTCACTAGGTTGCAGCGCCACCTCGTATATCTCGCAGTGGCTGCCTTCCGGTGGCATATCCAATAGGAATGTGGTTGTGTAGGGCCTCATGGGAGGCGGTCTAATGCGGATCCCGAGCCTCATTGTTCACCGGTGAACTTTTGAGTACCAGCGTCAGCTCTTGCACGATCTCACCTTTCTGCTATCAGGTCCTCTGTCTAGCCTTACCCTATGTCTGCCATGTTTTGATTGCACGAGACGAGCCGCTCCAAAATATTGGTGGCTGCTGGGCTTGAGCCCATGAAGTACGTCTTCGTGGTAGCCGCTTCTGGCAAAAGGACTTGCGGCTCTCGCCTGACTGCAGACAATCCTGGTATCGTGTATCGCCAGTATATTGCCGATAGGGCGAAGAAGGCAAGCAGGCAAGAGATAAGGCTGACGTGGAGACATGCCGGAGTCGTTAGGTGGGGGCGGTTTATGGTCGCAACAACGAGTTGCGCTATCTCGCGGCGGCAACCGCGTCCCGCAAAGTCCCCTTGCCTGCCCACGTGCGTTCCCAACGCTAGGGTCAACCTCGGTTTATTGTCGAGGTTTTTCTACTTAGCAAACCCGATAGACCTAACATGTCGCTATAGGAGCACAACAAAGTCTTGGGATGGTAATCGTCAACATTCAGTACAACAAGCCTGATAGGCGAAGTACTCTAGCTCATGAACATATATGGGGTATCATTCCCCTTCTTACAAAGCTTTACCATAAGGGGGGTTTCCAGTATCCGATCCTACCAAAACACCAAGCAATGCAAAAGTCCACAGTAAACCCGCCATGACGCCGATCGCAGAGGTATGGTAAATCAATCAATCAAAAACCCTTCTTCCTCCTTCCTCTCTTCTCTCCAATCTGTCTCCTCCGCCCCTCTCTCTTCGAACTGCCGGGGTGATCTTCCCTCCACCACGCCTCTGGACGAATTTTGACATCCCAACCGCATTCTCCCAGGCCTCCTTGCAGGGCAATTTGGCGAATCTTCTGTGTTGCTGCAATACCTACTGGGGTGCGTTCGTCTGGCGCGAAGAATTCGCGCTCAGCGTCGCCCCGAAGCGCTGGGCTAAGTCAAGAGAAGAAGTACTTGGATTCCCGGAGACGGGATACGTCCCACCCACCTTTCTGTGGAACAGGTGGAAAGCTGAGCGGGATCCATACTTGAATTGTGCTCTTCTCGTGGCCGAGGCGAGACGGCGCCTTCTTCTTGGCTACACCGCCGCTTTGTGGGTCCTTTGCGAGATCTTGGGCCTCGTCTTCCACAACATCGATCGTTGACTCAGTGGTGGTGATAGCATCAACTTCATCACCCAATGCCTCATCCATAGTCTTTGTTTCCCTATCGGCAGACTGTTTGTCTTTAGACTCACCGAGCAGAGCGAGTCTGGCCGAGCGGAATGCCTTGGGGTCCTGGTCCGCAAGCCAGATGCTGGTCGGCGTGACCATCGCCTCGCCCTGTTTCCTCTCCTCGGCGTCTTCACTCTTCAGCAATTCCTGTCGCTTAGCCTCCAGTGCAACTTCCTCAAAGGAGGTGTCTCCGTATCGCTTACCACTTGATTTTGTGGTAGTACCCTTCTTCTGGCGACGCTTTAGTCTCCATTCTGTGATCCTCCGGCTGACCTCTGCTCCGTTGTAAAGAGTCGCTCGGTACATAGCACCTGCATAACGCGCAGAGAACTCGGCAGCAAGACGGTCGACAATATCCTCGCTATGCATGCGTACGAATGCGTCACGAAGAATGACGTTTAAATTGGGGATATCAGAAGCGTGTGTCCAAAAGCTGTCGTGGACAGCGGCGAAGTCGAGCCCCATCTCGCTGGCCTTCAACGCCGAAAGCAGCATATGGCTCGCGTCGAGAGAGTGGATAAAGTTGGGTGGAAATGCTTGAAGCTGCTTGCGTTTATCGACCTCATTATGCTGAGACCTCTTTGACACCGTAATGTTCTGAATCTTAGTCTTGATCGTCTGGTTACTTTCCTTCCTGTATGGCTGGACAATTGGCATCTTGAGTGGCGTTGTCCAAATGATGCTAGTCTGAAAGTTCTCCATGCCTTTGTTGAACTTGTTGAGCTGGGCTGCGGTAACCTTCTTTGGTGCCACAAACTTCGGGTCATACAACGCATTCGAAGGATCCAATCCTTCGAAGCGGTCTTTGATCCTTTTGACTTGCTCGGCAGTAATCGATGTCGTTATGCGTTCGCCACATTCCCCAAGCCAGTACTGAATCTCCTGAGCACCATTGAAAATTTTGCCCAGCGCGTCAAAGATCTTATGCGCAACATACAAAGCGACGGCACCAAGTCCCCGGACCTTGCTTGTAGGCTCGAAATGAGGGAACAAGTTACGTAGCTCGTCGTGTACCTGTTCTTTCGCTCCCATGAAGGTGACTCCGTAGACGTTAGTCATGACTGTTCGCTTGACAACTTTTCGCGTAATGTGGCCGTCAACAAAGGACGCTGTTGGAAGACCTTCGGCGGCGTCTTTTGCGACCATCTCTTTTACGAGTTCAGCAACACCAGTATAAATATCCTGCGGCCTGTCGGAGGGTTCAAGGTTGACCTGGCGAGCACCAGCATAGTCACCACCCAAGGCTGCGTAATGCTGAAGTCCATTACACGTTCCATCCTGGTGAACTGGAAACTGAGATACAAACCGAGTCGGATCGGGTAAGTCGAAAGCTCTTTTCAGCTCCATGCAACAGGCCAGACATTGCCAAGGATCTTCCGCCTTTACCCACCACCGTCTACCATCCAGTGGATTCGTCGCGGAATCGCGAATTTCGTCCAGGTTGTCCATTGTGAATTGTTCGCGTTCGCGTAGGCTAGCCTTGTCGTAACCGTAAAGATTGGCTAGATGAATCTTCAGCCATTGTAAACCCACAGTACCAAGCTCTTTGCCGTGCGCAAACTTGAGAAGTCCCCTTGAGAGATCAGACCCGATATGATTAAGGATGGGTGGGATCGGATATGCGCGGCCTCGGAAGTCGACGCTATGAGGGAAGAACATTTTCTTTTCGTTCAGGTATGCTCGCGCTGTCTCCAATTGAAAATTCTGGAAACATCGCTGTGAGTGAAGACCGCCGATGTGATTCTCGTATTCCTTCAGAGCTTTGCTCCATTTCGCTCGTTCCTGGACTGACGCGTTGGCTGGAGGTTCTTGGGGACGCGTGTAGTTGGTAATGGAATCTTCTCCAACGAGAGCCCCAATAGTCTCTCCCGAGTTCCAGGCACGAGCCATGACTTCAAAAACGGGGGCATTGATCTGCCAAGGTACTCTGCCAAGCACGTCGAGGCCAGCCATCACCTTGGACATGTCACCATTTTCTATGGCTGACCGGGCATAGGCTTTCTGCGCACTGTCACCGACTTTTTGACGAATGACTTTTTGCGGGATAGTGTAGTATCCGCCATCTTCGTAACTAGACCATGGTTTCGGTTCGACTACCATTGGCAGCCTGACAGTCTGGATGCTATGAACAGAGTCGGTTCGCAGTTTGGTAGCGAGCTCATGGTGCGGCACAAGGTAGCCAACCTTCTTGCCGTTACGATAACCGACTGCGTGGTGGAAGGCGGCCATACTGCGGGATATCTGCTTCCCTGTCCGTGGATCCTTTGCGGTGACGGTGAGGGTTGCAGATTGAAGCAAGAGCTCCAAGCAGAAGGCTCCAAGCTTTGTTCGTACCCCTAGTGGTATGTCGGCCTTCTCGAGTGGATACGATGTCTTCAAAGGTGGTAGGCTGGAAGGCGCCTCCCGGGTCTCCTTGGAAAGTTGATTGATCAAGTTCGTACGAGTCTGCTTGCGCTGCTTTCTCAGGAAAGCGTCTCGCCGAGCCCACGAATCAGCGTCGAGGTATTCCTCGATATCGTTACCAACGGCAATAGACAGGGCCGATATCTTGTAGGCAGAATTGTCTTCATCCTTGCCCTTCACTGCGGCCTGGGTAGCCCGAGCAACGGTGATTGCCGCAAGCTTCTCAGGCTTGCACCTTTCCAGCCAGACACCGTAGGCGGCAACCTCGTCACGCGCCGTGGACTTGGTGGAATCGGACAGAACCTCCTTGGCCTGTTCGATACGCTTTTTGAACAGCGGCACGAGGGCGGAGTACCAGCCGTACATGATGGCCTGGATAGGCTTGCTGTTCATGACGCCATAGACGCCCACTTCTTGTAGTTTCTCGTCCTCGGCTTTCCATCTCCTGACTGCGGCCTCGATGCCATCCTGTTCCATCTGTAGTTGGCGTGCGTATGCGTAGGCCTGGTCCTTCTCTTCCTGGGTTCCTGGCATATCGTGCGGGTACGGAACGCGGGCCTCATCGTCGAAAATGGTAAGAGCTTGTTTCAGCGAATCCAGACCCATGCCCTTCTGCTTGACTGGTTTGATCGGCTGTGATGGGTGGGATACCAGGCCGTGTTCGATAAGGTTCTTGCGACCCAAGGGCGTGCTGACATGGAGATGCTGAACTTGGTCGACGGGCGGAGGTTCTTGGAAGGATTCTGGTTGTAGGCGGATCAACAGATCCCACTCCTCATCGGAGAACTCGGGCGAGGCGTTGATTTGGTCGAGGATGTCTTCGCCGTATTCCCGTGCCGTGGCGATGTATTCTCGTACTGCGGCCTCGTCGTCACCCTCTTCCAGAAAGTTCATGGCCGATCGGATCAGGGTAACAAATGTCTGCGCGTTTGGTGGGACATCTTTGGCTAGCATGTGGTCATTGCACCAGGTCTCAATCTTCTTCATGCTCTCCACACCAGGATCGAGCTGGCCGAGGTCGAGCAGCGTCTGCAAGTAGGCGTTGTGTGCGTCGATGAGTTCTGGCGCATCCTTGTTGTAGACGGTGGCAAGGCGGTCGATAATGATGGCGGCCCGGTCCAGACGCCCGACGCGCAGACATGCGTATAGGTTCTGGTGCAGCTCGACGAGGTCACCGACGAGGCCGTCGCGGGGACGCAACGCAGGCAACGCAGTCAGCGAGTCTCGGACGACGAGGGGATTCTGAGGGTCCCATCGCGGCATGCGAGAGAGGTCGGGAGACTGGACTTGGCGCCCGAAGGATTGCGCAAAGGGATCGAAGGAAAGCGGCGAGGAAGGTGGGGGATGCAGTTCGGCGGATGTGGCGAGGGAGCGTGTCTCGTGCCGTATGGACAGTGAAGAGGGCCGTTGCCGCTGCCGTCGACTCGAGTCGTGTGTGTTTGTCGAGGATGCGGAAGGTGCGTACGAGGTCCTCCGTGACAACGCTGGGCAGAGCCATGGCAGCGTTAATTGGTCTGAAAGGGTCGTGGGCGTCCTGAAGGCATTTCTGCGGAGTTTCCGCCCTGCGGCTCGCGAGAGCATTTTCCTAAGAGCGTCCGGACCAGTGCAAAGTCTATGGGGGGTATCAAACGAACAAACAAAGAGAAACAAAAGCAAGACTTGTAAACGCCAGAAGACAACTAGAGGAAATCGTGCAGTTGCAGCGAGAACTTGGGGCGGGCGTGTAGTTGCCTCGTGGTTGAAGATCCTCCATGGAAATTTTGGCCGACCAAATCCATGCCAGCGTCATCACCGAAGAGGCATCGCTAGCCTTGGCAGCGTTTTCGCCTGATTACATAACACTACAGCATAGTACTTTTTTGTTTTTACAGCTACAAACTTCGCAATACTAGTCTTCGCGCTATGCCTCATCCGCGACAATGGTGGGCTTGGTGATGGTCCGCTCCCTCGTCGACGTCGCCACAGCAGATAGTGCATCCTCGATCAACTTCTCCAATTGATCATCAATCGGCGCATCAAACATCTCCACCTCTCTGCTTTCATCTTCGACCCAGTCGCCATCATCGTCCTCTCCAAAACAGAACAAGTCGCTTGCTTCACCCCCGACAACCTTCTTGTGCTTACCTTTGGGTATCTTGCAGCCACCAACCTCCTTGCGGAATATGTCTGCGTACTCTCTTGCCACAGTGGATATGTTTGCCGGAGCAATTTGTTGTCCGTCATAGAGAAGCTGGGGTCTAAATGTGGGTGTACCAAGTCAGTCTGTGTCTTACCTACAGGTCGCACAGGAGTACTTACAGGTGAGGGATCTCGGGAAGATCGCCGTTGAAAGGTAGCGCCTGATGCAGCGGCATTGTGTCTGGAATGACGGGTGTTTCGGAAGTTTGAGGAGACTGAGGTGGTGTATCGGCGCGCAGAAATGGTGCATCTGTCTCCAACGGCATGGCAGGTGTTTCTTGACCGTCTCTGGGCAATACAGCAGAGAACTCCTCGGGGACGTGGTACAACTCGTTATGAATCGTGACCAACGCATTGGACGTCGTCGCAGGATAAAGCAGCGAATAGCCGCGCGCGCGCATGAACTCAAGCATGTACTCGGTCCATGCGGGCAGTGTCTCGGATACCAACTTTCCCCGAGATGTCGTTTTGGCTGATTGCTGATGCTTGACCACACGATTGCCGAGGAACGAATGCAGCTCTGCCCACTTGTCTCCTAACAACAATGCCGCGTGGCTGTTTGGAGCCTGCCACATGAAAGGCACGCTCTTGGCACCTTGATGCAGCTTCTTGTATCGGTCAGTGTGCATGTCGCCTGTCGACGGGGGTTCCAACTTCGTCTTGCCATCGAGGAGCACCGCTGGCAACTCTAGACTAATACCCATGAGATTGTCATTGTCCTCTGCGCCGTAGGTCGAGTACTTGTACTCCAACAAGGCGTATTTGACAAAGTGGAAGTACTGTGGCGACAGCTGCGCTTGCGAAGAGAGTAATAATACGTGTGAGTTGATCGTGTTGGTGGGGTAAAATAACTCCAAGAAGCGAATTGCAGAGTCCTCCTGGTTATGGCGATGGTTTGAGATGCGGCGTCTGATACTGAGTCCGCTCCCTGCCATGGGATTATCATTATGTGGGGGCCATTTGAAGCTTTCAATGTGCTCTTTTACTGAGATGTCGAGCTCGGCTGGCAGCTCGACGGTGATACGAGGCGGTCTCAGACCACTGTAATCGGCGTCTTTGATTGATTTCAGTAATCGCAGAACGCTGGAAGAGTCTGGTGGTACTTGGATGAGAATGTCTACGGTAGGATCGTGCCAGTGCCTGAGTGAGCCAGCATCGAGCCGTGAGACCCAAGCAAAGTCCTCCAATCTGTCTTTTGGTACTTCAATGAGAGGCATCTTAAGCACTCCCGTTTTGGTTCGCATGCCTCGGACAAAGAACTGGTCTTCTGAGACGGAATCGTCGATGATGGCTGCTTGAGGATGGAGAAAGCTGCTGATGTGCTGCATAGCACCCATCACGGCCGTCTCAGCGCGTACATCGGTACTATACCTGCAGGCAACATTCTAGTTAGCCATGGCCGTTTATGCACGAGTTTTGAAGCTTGGAGCTGCTCATGCGACTGCAACATAACCCTGAAGTACTTGAGAACAATTTGAGGTACATACTCCATGTAATCCGGTCGCGCATCGTGCCATACAGCAGGACACTTGACCTTGTCTATCCCGTTTATCTCTAGCAGATCGTCTACTGGTATATCTTCCCTGCCCATGAAAGCCGCATGTACATGGTTCCTGTTCCATTGCGACATCTCGCATACCATGGGCAAAAGCGTCGATGCACTCTTCAAGCTCGACATTGCGAATAGTATGTTTCTGTTCTTCTTCTCATAGCCACCCGTTGCCGAGGCGGATGAGCGCAGTGAGCTGGCGAGGCGGAAGAAGCGTATCTGTCCATCGTATGTACGAGGGACCGCCTCTCCATGCCTTGGTTTCTGTACGCCCGGTGGCGCTCCCGTGGGTTCGTCGTCGCCGTCCGCGCTCGGCTTCTGATATGTGGATGTGATTGGCCGTCCTCGATATCGTGGCTCGTCCGGCTCTTCGTAGTCGTCAGAGCCGCTGAGGAAGCAGTAGTACAGCAGGAACAAGCCCACTACTGCAAGCAGTATCCTCCGCCGCCGCCAGCGAAACGTGTGGCTCCAGCCTGACCAGCTGGAATGCCGCGCGGGTTTGTATCTATGGTCATCGTCTTTCTTGCCCAGCTCTTCATCGCCCGGAAGTATCGCCTTCCGATACATGCTGCCCCGGACGAAGCTATCTGGCAACCACCCCTTGTCTGTGGCGCGTCTCGTCGCTACCATTCAGCGTGCTCGGTCATGGCGATGTAGGGACAAGTGTCGCGTGCGGTTCTACGTGCGGCCGGTGCGGGAGCTTTGCGAGATTCTGCGTCTCACGCTGTCGGAGCCAAAAAATGCGGCGCAAAGGTTCAATTCGATTAAATGGGGGAGAGAAGCAGCATGACAAGAGCTTCGACGAAAGGCCAAGCGCGTGTCAAGGGCAGTGCAAGAGGCCATATTGGAGATGCGATAACCTCGATTGTCCTTCCGGGAACCACATCCCTGCAACGCATCATCCCGCTCGCCTATGACTGACTGCCGACGCCTTCGTCATTGCTCACAACAACCACCTCATCTCGACTATATTTCAAGACAGCTTTTCCGGCCTGGCCCTAGACCTTTGAGTCGGAGCTCGTCACAGCGCTATCACATCAAAAACCTTAACACCATTGCCGAGCTTTGCGCACGCCAAATGCCATTTAGATTAATCAATACGCCCACACTGCATTAATCTACGAACACAGCCGCTTACGCCTTCTCAAACTCGGCCAATCGCTCATCTGCTGCCCTAAGAGCCTCCCGCAGAATCTGCTCGTTTCGAGGTTTGAAGAGAATCTCGTAAGGTCGGCACATCGTCACCAAACTGGTAGGGTCTGAGCTGCCCCTGACAGGATGCACGTCCACCTCCGATTTCTGTACTAGCTCAAAGCTGTTCAGCGTCCGCAGGAAGACAAGGTACAACTCGCGATTGGCTAACAATGAGCCTGCACACATTCTGTAACCTAGGCCATATGTATGCAGCGGGGCGTCGGGTTGCTCTAGCCAACGCTCAGGACGGAACTCGTCCGGATCTCTCCAAACTTCGGCATCTACTCTGCAGTCAGCATCGCTGTCTCTAGTGTAGGGGAACCAGGGAGGACGACGCACCCATATTACATGCCCATGCATTCAGATATACTGTACTGCCTGCGGGGATGAGCTTGCCCTCATACATGATATCCTTGACTGTCGCTCGCGGAAGCGCTAGGCGTAGTACAGTGTAGTACCGTAAGCACTCTCTAACCAGTGCGACAACATACTCACACTTTTGGTCATCGTACGCATCCGCTAGCGGCTCGTCTTCCGAGTAGTACTTCCGGATCTCCTTGATAGCCTTTTCTTGGATATCCGGCCTTTGAGCCAGCAGCGCCACACTCCACTGAACGAGGGTAGTGATGGTGTCTAGACCGCCAGACAACATCGTCAGGCTGATCGACGTCAACTCCTCCTTGTTCAACGCGGCTTCCTTGTCTTGGATAATGTTTGCCTGGATACACGTTTTGTGAGTACCCTTCTCCATTCGTTCGTCCAAATCGCGATTCAGCTTCGTTAGGTAGACATCTCGTCTGTTTCGGTGCTCTTTCGCAGACTTGGTGCCGAAGCTGAAGGGATTGAGTCTCAAGATGGGAATGTAGTCCTGCAAGTTTCCAGTCGTACTACGAAATTTCGAGATAGCGGCTTCGACCTCGCAGATCTCGTGAAACATTGGATCATGTCGACTACTCATCCTTGTACCCCAGTTGAGGGTCAGAGCGAGCGAAAGTGAAAGGCGCTCAATCATGGGCATGGGGTTTACACCAACGGTACCAGCATGGCCTGACTCAAACCCGTCTTTTACAAATTCCTTCGTTTCAAGGTCGAGGTGGTCGATGTATGTCGCAATCGAAGGTTTGTTGAGTGCCGAGGCAGCACCCTTCCTCCTGCGCTTGAGCGAATCATTGAATGGCGACGTCCCGATTGTCGTACCGGCTGTGTTTGAGAGCACCTGCTGTTAGTTAGCGAAGCAATGGAGCGCCCTTACTGTTCAGCTCACCTTGTGGAAAGTCCAAAATACGGGTCTGGAACTCAGCGCCTGGCTGTTCCCACCAAAGATTTTCTTCGCGGCTTCCGCGCTGTTGACCACAATTACTGGCTCATTTCCAAGCTGTATCTGGTACACAGCGCCAAAAGTCTTGCTCCATTCACGATACTTCTCGGCCGCATTAACCTTGATGTCTGGAATGTTGCCCACCAAGGGCCAGTTGGTCGGTCCGGGAAAACCCTTGATTCGTCGGGAGTATCGCACGTATTCGTTCCCAATAACATACAATATGGGAATGCATATTATCAACAAGAACAACGAGCGAGCTGGGTGTTCCAGAAACTGGGACGAGAGCAGTGGTAGGATGATGGAAATCATGGCGCTCGCTAGTGGCTCCTTGCGACGCTTGCCGAAAACAACAAGATGTTCGAAAGGTTGTTGCGAGCCACAAGTTGGAATTACGCTTTAGTTAGCGGAAGGCCGGTCATTTTATTTGTCTACCATTCCTCAGCCATGGCGGGCTCCCCAGACTTTACGTGAAGCGTGGCCGGCTCATGCGGGGAAGTCGCACCGTTCGTTGGGGACAGCGGAATTAGGCCACTAAAAGTGCGGAACAAGAGCGCGGAACCATTGTTGTGCCATTCTCTGGTGCTGCTAACGCCTTCAGCGGCTTGCTGAACCTGCCACATACACAATTCGATACAGAAACAAGTCTCCGGGCCACTGATGTGCGAATGTTGTGCAATGTCATCACCGCTTGCCACTTTTCTTCAATCCGTCGGCCCCGCATCGCCTTCTAGCCCTCTGTTCTATCACTACCGCTCCTGGCTGATAGTCATCCTCAAGGGATAAATCTCGTAGAATACGCTGCTATTATGGGGTGTTCTACTTACATAGTAACACCGTTGAATTGCTCAACGAATACCTAAGTATTAACTTACCGACAATTCGCGAATAAGGCTAACCTTTTCCTTACTTCAATACAGCGAAAGAGAAAATGCTTCGGCCAGAACGCAGTCTCGGCCCTCAGAGCGACGAGGCCGTCCTAACAATGAGAGACTCTGATGGAATAGATGGCAAGAACGATTTCTGGGTTATCAACTTCGAGATATAACCATACTGGAAGCGTCGTAGCAACATCAGCGCGGGTACCCAAACGAAATTCACGTCCAACTCGGCGTCTGTCACAGTCAACAAGAAGCACAGTCTTCTCAGAAATGAAGTCATGATGCGATAACGTCAATGGAATATCGGTTTGGTGGTTCAAGATCCTTGGCTTCTAGGGGTAGGCCGGATTGAACTGCGTCGGTTTGAAAAACTGATTATTGTACAACTTCTGGACTTGATGAATGAACGAGGACCTATCCGAAAGAACCTGAATGTTAGTGATATTAATGAGACAGAACAACCCGATGGTGATATACTTTGATGTATGAGCATCTGTGTTTAATACTGATTTTCTTACATAATGAGGCCTGACGCCACCAAGTTGGGAGGCAAAGATGGCAGAGATTCACAGGAACATGAGTAAGCCCAGTGCGCCGAATAAGTTCGGTCGGTTTGGAACGCTAGATGATAACGAGGAGCAGACCCATCTTGAAACCAGGATTCATTTTAGACATATGGCTTTCTCTCTTGATACACATTCATAGAGGTGTGTAATGCCTGTTGAATTTGCACTGAGAGACTAGGAGAGATACAGATGACCTTCACTACCCAGGTATGATGTAAAAACATGCACATACCGTTGACGATACACGCATGACTTGAAGGTGTCTCGATGTGTTTCGAAGCTAAGGCCGAATCACACGAGTGACGACGGGATAACTTGGCCATATCAATGAGACCTTTTGAAGCACGGCGCATTTCAAGTCCAATCATCAATTTCCCCAAACCAAATGCTTTTCTCTTGCATGCGATCTCCAAGCTTCTCCTATGCCTTTGAATTGCTAGTGAGCTCTTGCGACATGTTCCCGTGAACTTGTAACAGATGATTGCCAGCGTAGCATGTAAGGCAACATGTTGGTTACGAATGTACAGCCATCCCAAGCCACCTCCAAGCCTGTAGAAGCCTGGAAATAATTCCATGACGTCTAGAAGCTATGGAAAAGTGAAAATTGCAGCTGCATAATCCCACTCACCTCGCAGATACTGAGAAGTACAGGATAAACACATGATGGGTAGATGGCAGCGAATCATGAGTGTCCTGTTACCAAGTCTGGAAAGCGACATCGCTGTCGCAAATCGCGGCCCGCAACACGTGTGTAATGCGCTGCCAGGAGGAGCTGATGTTCAAACACGTAGTTGAGCCGCACATGGTACATGCAACAAACGTTGTGGGGGTTTGCAGGCTGCAGTCGCGAACGCATTCCATAGCCTCAGTGACCCCACGAGCTCCCAACGCAGACTGATCACAAGACACTGTGAGTGCCATTATAATCAATGAGTATCTTGAGCGACGGGCCGACGCAACGGTTGTCATGGGCGTTCGTCGAACATATGAGACATCGCTCTTCACGATAGGTGTAGGCACTTGATACGATTACTCTATATCTTCAGCCCTTCTTCACATTCTCAAATCAAACTCCTCTACATATTAGCACCAATACTCCCTCTCTTCCCCCAATCTTCAAATCTTATAAGACAAGTACCATATCAGCCCTACACGAAGCATCAGCGATCACATGAAGGAACCTCCGCGACAGGCGGAGCCATCACTTCGTCAAATCGAGCACGATCCTGGTGATATGTTTGCCGAGCGACACTCCTATATCCCATCAAATACAGACAACAATCGCAGCTACTTCGAGGACAGTCCCAGAAACCTGGAATCCTCGCATGGCTACCGTGAGTCTTGCGGCCAGCATTACGGGACTGCAAACGACCTCAGCCAATCTCACACGCCGAACATCGGATTCGGTGCGGAAGATTTTAACTCGTATGATCCATGTGCTTCGATGCAGACAACGGGCAACATTTACAGCGATAATAACCTCCGGCTTCAACGTGGCGTCGAGAACTATGTTGAAATGACGAGCCCAAACTATCGAAAAGGCGAAGTCAGAACAAAAGATTCCCCTTCTGCATATTCAATGCACCACCGGTCTAGTTCCGCAGAAGTTCCCTCGCTCGCACCTATGCCATTGTCCAGGAACAGCAGCGCACCACCGCAGGCGGCAGGTCA